CTCTTTCTATAGTTGAATATTATCGAGCTAAATCCAGTGTTTCTGTATCATGCCGGATGCGTCAGGGCCAAGGCGAGCAGACACCTCAAGGACTCATAGATAACATGCATCTTACTATGAGGAATATCAGAGGATCGGCGTCTTATTGGCAGAAATGTTGCTCTGAACTTACTGCAATGGTCCGAACTTTGGGGCCTCCTACGTGGTTCATGACGTTCTCTTGCAACGACCTTAATTGGCCAGACATGACCAAAGCCTTACTCATCGCAGATGGGCGTGATGTAAATCAAGCAGAGAACCTGTCTTTCCCCGAGCGTTTGCAATTGGTACAGAAATATCCCGTGGTTGTCTCTCGACAATTTTCGGTTCGCGTGAACGCTCTGATGCGATTCCTCAAACGCGATCCAGACTGCTTAGGTGGTCCAGTTGTGGACTTTTGGTATAGAATAGAGTTTCAAAATCGCGGAAGTCCACACCTTCACATGTTGGTGTGGTGTGACAATATCCCAGATTTCTCGACTCAGGAGGGTATCGAAGTCATCGAAAGGGTGGTTTCATGCTCTTTAATGCCCAATGATTCTGTATTGCAGAAATTAATAAAAGACGTGCAAATACACAAACACACGGCCACGTGTTACAAAAACCGCAACGATAGTCATTGTCGTTTTGGTTTCCCGAGGCCCGCATATGAGACTACTATTTGCTTAGGTCCTGATGAAGTATTATCAAACAATGGACGATTTTGTTGTTTGAAACGAACTGTAGACGAAAGTATGGTAAACAATTACAATCCTACTCTATTAAGTCTATGGAAAGGGAACATTGATGTGCAGCCGTGCGGTAACGTAACAGCAGTTGCATACTATGTTGCTAAATACGCAAGTAAATGTGAGCCCCATGATACAGGTGAAGTTGTACGAGAAGCCGTTGTGAAGGCCAAGAGGCAAGGTGGTCCTGTGTGGAATCAGTTATTTGCAGTCTCAATGGCCATTCTATCTCAACGCCTTGTAAGTGCTCCGGAATGCGCATATAGATTGTGTCATTTACCGCTAAAAATGTCTTCCCGAAAAACAGTCTTCATAAACAGTTGTAAGCCAAATGAACGTTTCAGACTTCTACGATTCGACGGTGATGATACATCCATTTACAACAACATTTTTGATCGATATGTATTACGCCCAGATGAACTAGAAGACTTAAGTCTCGCCGAATTCGCTGTGCGCTTTGAAACGGTGTCTAACTTAATATGGAACGAAGACGATGGTGATGAAGAATTAAGGAGTGAAGATGTTACGCCGGCAAGATTTATACGGCTAAGAGATAACACGCGGATGCATATAAGAAACAAGTCTGCAGTATTGCGCACACGATACTTTACATTGAACAGCGACAAGGAAGCCTATTACTACAGCTTGTTAGTATGTCATGTACCATTTCATGATGAAAGTGAACTTCTACTCGAAGAGGAAACCGCTGAGGAGTGTTTTATTAGGCGGCAAAGAGAATTCCGACCATTACATGGCAACGTAAGCGCAGAAGAGTTTGCTCACGCAGAACAAATGATACAACAGGCCCTTGCCCAAGCAGTCGCGCTCAACGCTGCCCGTAACACTCACGATGTTGATGCTCCTTTGATTTGTGGCGGTGAACAAATCGTGAATAACGATGACAATTATTGTGAAGATGTATGCGAAAGGTCTGCTATGCCAGATGAAGTCTTCTTGGGTAATATTCGAAGTCTAAACGTCCAACAGAGAGACCTTTTCCAAAAAGTTTCTGCGGCTGTAGAAATGGATTTGCAGGGACAAGAAGGTCAATTATTGTTATTCATCACTGGCGGTGCAGGAAGTGGAAAGTCTTTCGTCTTGAAATTACTCGTGGAACATATCAAACGGTGTTATGCACCAACAGTTGACGTATTGCTCAAGGCTAAATTTGTTGAGGTGGGATCCCTAACAGGTGTAGCCGCACGTCAAATATTTGGAAAAACATTGCACTCAATATTCTCACTTCCAATTGAAAAAGGAAATACTATGACGTACAAAAAAATTACTGGACAAAAGCTAGAGAATGAGAGACGTAAATGGCGCCATATAAACTGGTTAATCATAGACGAAATTTCAATGGTGTCATATGAAAATTTGCGAATTATACACCTGCGTCTCCAAGAATACAAAAATAATGACAAATTATTCGGCGGGGTGCAAATATTGCTTTTTGGTGATATACTTCAACTCCCACCGGTAAAAGGGCATTGGTGTTTTATTCAACCGCCATGGTTTTCGGGCGAAGTTAACTTATGGCAGCAGTTCTCATTTTGTGAACTTACGATAAATATGCGACAACGAAATGACATTGAGTTCATAGACCTCTTAAATAGCTTGCGGGTTGGTGAATTAACGACATCTCAGTTGGAGTTACTTTGTGAGCGGCGACACGTGCCTTTGTCAGGAGATTTTGCTGATGGGGTTGCTGTCCGTATATTCCCTACTGTTAGACAAGTAGATACATATAATGAAAGAATGACCGTTGAAAATGCGAAAGCGCACCGCATGTACACAATAAATGCTGTAGATGAGTCTCGAGAGGCGGCAACCTATGGTAGGAAGCCACCAGAAAATGTTATTCCTAAAGACATTAATAACTGCGGTCGTTTCTTGCCAACTATAAAGTTGAGTATCGAATCGCGAGTCATGTTAAGGCGGAATATTTCCGTATCTGATGGGCTCGTGAATGGTGCCATGGGCATTGTTAAGAAAATTAAATGGCCTGCTCTCCGAAGAGATCAATTGGAGGAAGGCGAGTTGCCTGAATCTGTGCTTATAAAATTTGATGACGCGACTGTTGGCCATAGAACAAAAGATAATGACGGTTGTGTAGCAATCTCACCTGCTTGTACAACATTTCAAGCGCAAAGAGGATATGGAGATGTCGAACGAAGAATGTTACCGGTCATCTTAAGCTGGGCAGGAACCGTTCACAAACTTCAGGGTACAACCCTTGATAAAGCAGTGATCGATTTAGGAAAGAAGAATTTCGCTAAAGGACAGATTTATGTAGCCCTCAGTCGCGTCAAAACTTTAAATGGCATTGCCATATCTGATTTGGATGCAAATAAGCTATTAAATCGACCCCACGACGAAAAATCATTAACAGAAATGACACGCTTGCGTGATCTTTCCAACAATTAGGTACCTAGTTTTCTTTAATAATTATTATTCAAATCGGTTCATAATTGGTGGAGTAATCGCGTATTTTTTTTATTTGTTGGTTTGTTGAAAAATAACTGATTAAAAATTGTAAATAGGTAGGTTTTCTAAGTATCAATAATTTTGTTGAATGTTTGAAGTAAGTAATTAAAATTGCTTTTTAGTTGTTTGAAGTTTTCAATTTTTTTTTTTAATAATTTTATTTTTTAATTTTTTGTGGGAAGTAAGTGTGATTTTTAAGGTCATAAATAAACGCTCACACTCACAGCCCAACTCTAAAAATGTTTATCGTATCCGTGTATCCTAGGTGCCGTGGACAAGGCCGCCAGAGAGTGGGGACCTCTGGTGGCAGATTGATTGCTGCGGTAGGGAATGGAATGGCCGGCCTGATTGCATTAAGATGCGATCGGGCCGCCATGCCGCGATTGAAGGGGGAAGTGTTCTCCCCTGGGATAGGGCCTGATTAGGCATGGTGTCAATTCGGGGAGGACCTGAGATAACATGGTCCGGGTCCTCCCCAGAGTAGGACACCTAAGGCCGGCCGTCGGGATGGTTTTTAGTGGAATCACCACAGACTCCTGGCTCCTGGGTCCCCGAGGAGCCGGAGATCCGAAGGGATTTTCCACCCCGTCAACAAAAAAACAAAAAAAAAAAAAAAAAAAAAAAAAAAAAAACAAACAATGTAGGATTGTCAAAATTGGCGGAATGATCGCGTATCAAACATACAAAAAGAAAACATACTGTCGAATCAAAAACCCTCCTTTTTTGATGTTGGTTAAAAATCGACTAGCATGAAGCTCCTAGTCGAGACGAATCAAATGAGCACAAACACGGCGGAATTGCTTTATTTTATTACAGAGTTCCCATGGCTATTTACCGTCTCCATCATCAGACCCTGAATATCACATAGGATCGGAGTCCTTATTAATTAGACTCAAACACATTCAAATTCGATGGTATTACATAATTTTGTTACAGAGATCCCATACTCCTAAACCATTCATCATCAGCTTCATCATCAGCTCAGCAACATCAGATGGTGACCATTAGATGCAAAAATCTACATAGATTAAGATAATTTCTGATAAACAGTGTATATGTCTACAAAATTTGAGGGTTTCCCTCGATTTCCCCAGGATCCCATCATCAGATCCTGACCTGGTGACAATGGGACCACCTCTGACGTATGACCTATCAAATAAAAAAAGAATTATTCAAATCGGTTTATAATTGCCGGAGTAATCGCGTAACAAATATACAAAAAAAAAAAAAAAAAAATACAGTCGAATTGAGAACCTCCTCCTTTTTTTGAAGTCGGTTAATAAGTAGCGCGGAACAAAGTTCGAGGCGAGCGAGTGAAATCTTTTTTAGAGGCGCTAATCTAGACTTAGAAGCGAGTAGTGAAACGGAGCCCTTCGAGTTGTCATCGGGACTAACACGAATAGAAACCACGGCACCATAACATTGCTCACTGGCATCAGCGAAACCTATCAGCGAAATGTGAGCGTTAGAGACAATACCTATGTGTCTGGAAAAAACTAGTTTTGACAGATGTTGCAGCTCTTTATGAAACTGTATATATTTCTTGCGGATAGAATCGGGTACTTCTTGATCCCAATCAAGCGACAATTTCCAGCATAGCTGAACTAAAAGCTTCATGAAAGTAACAACAGGACAAATTAAACCGATTGGATCGTACTGACGAGCGGTTGCGGCGAGAAGAATACGTTTTGTACACGACTGTACCCCGGTATCTGCGGTAACTTGAAATGAAAATATATCCGCATCAGGCTACCAAAGCATGCCTACAATTTTCGTAGTTGTTTGAGCATCGTCGAAATCTACAAGATGCGGGCTTTTAATTGAGTTAGGAATTTTATTTAATAAATCCGAGCTATTCGAGATCCATTTCACCAATTTAAAACCTCCCGCCGAAAACAAATCTATCATTTCTTTGTATATTTTCTCCGCGGCATCTACAGAGTCTACCGATGAAATATAGTCATCCATATACATGTGACTCGCGGCCTCGTAAGCGGCAAGCGGCCACTTTGCACGCTCGTCGTCTGCTAGTTGACGCACGACGCGCATTGCGAGGTATGAAGAACTAGACAATCCGAATGTCACTCTATTAAATTCGTATTCGTCAATATCTAAACTAGAATCAAATCTAAAGAGAATGCTTTGAAAAGGTCGGTGACCCGGCGTGAGTTATACTTGAAAATACATTTTTTCTATGTCCGCTGACATGGCTATAGAAAACATGCGTAAATTAATTAATAAATTAAAAATGTTTTGTTGAAGGTTGGTACCCGTAAACAACAAATCATTAAGCGATTTTCCCGACGTCGTGTTAGCGCTGGCGTCTAAAACTACGCGAATCTTCGACGTACTTTTATCTGGCCGATAGACGGCCCTATGCGGTATGTAATAAGAGTTGCGAATTTGAGCATCAGAGTTGACTTTTGATAAGTAACCCTGATCAATATAATTTTGTATAGTTGCGTTATAATCGGAGCGTAATTCAAGTGCGTTATCTAATTTTCTTTCCAAATTTATTAATCGTTTTTTAGCGATATTATACGAGTTTCCGAGCAAAAGGGGATCATATTTAAATGGGAGCGTTACAGTATATCTACCCGTCTCGTTGCGGGAATGCGTTGCCTGAAAGATACGTTCGCAGACTTCATCATCAGGACTTGTGTGAACTTTACCTGGTACCCTTTCGAGTTCCCAGAAGCGTTGCGTTAAGTCTTCTAAATTGTGCGTTTGAGCAGAACAGAAAAATGTTTTATTATTATTTTTGTGCGTGTTTAAATCGGAGTCATCACACTGAGCTCTGCCCATCATTATATAACCGAACGTGGTTTCCATGGCAACAACTGAACACGGAGGAAAGCTAATCTTATTGTTGCAAATTAAATGCGGGAATAACTCGTTACCCAGCAAACAATCTATTTCCGAAGGGATGTAAAAATCATCATCCGCTAGTGGTATGTCGCGTATACCAGCCAGCTACGATATATTCACGTGAGAGTTCGGTAAACGATCCGTGATGCTATCTATGACTAAAGCTTTAATATGATAATTACAACGCGCGTCAAAGCGGGATTGAATTTTAAATGTAACAAAACCATACGAGCTACTCTCAGAGTGCCCTATGCCCTTTACTACACACGGGTTAGGTGATATTTGCAAATTTAATCGTTCACAACATACCTTCGTAATAAAGTTAGACATAGATCCTGTATCTAGAAAAGCGCGTACCTTTTTTCGCTGTCCGTTACAATTAAATGCGTATACATAAGCGGTAGGTAACATAACAGTGGTATAATTAATATCTCCGTTAGTATTTGTAACTGACAAAGAAACATTAGCGTTTTCAGCATTCGAAACTGAGCCTTGTGTATTAGGGAGCGAAGGCTTTAAATCGTTTGCGCGCGCGTCTTGGGTCGAACGATCTATTCGTCCAGCCCAGCAGCTGTTTACATTCGCGGCGGAGGTGGCGGGGGAACGTCTGCCCTCTTGGTGCAACAAAGAATGATGCCTTCTTAAACAAGTCGGGCAACGATTTTGTGATTTACAAAAATTAATAGAATGAAATCCTAGGCAGTTAATACAATAGTTATATTTCATTACAATTTGATTGCGAGTTTCTGTGCCCTAATAAAAAAATTCAGGACATTTAAATAGTGCATGAGTGGGACATGATTTACAAATAGAACAATAGTTATGCGAGCGTATATGCATATTATTATTAACCGTACTATTTGGCGTGGTGTTCACTATGAACGACTGAGTGTTTTTCGAATTTTTAGTTGAGTTTGCGTTATTATTTTTATGAGAGTGTTATGTTAGATTTTATGTTAGATTGTTTATTACATGAGTATGACTGTGTGCGTAATGTATGAATTTTATCCTGTTCCTTTATAAACTGTTTAAGATTGTCGAATGTAGGTTTGTCTATAAGACTGTTCAAATAGCGCAAGAGTGTCCCGAACGAGTTTAGATAATGCGATATGCGTTATGATGAAACCGGCGAGGTCATCAATGCCTAAGCGTCGTAACGCGGATTCGGCTGACCAAAATCGTTCAATAAAAGCGTCTAATGAATATAATTTAAATTTTAACATCTGTTCTAAGTACTAATTCTAATCTAAATTCTCACCAATAGGTGGAATGCTAGAACAAACTGATAAGGCTTTGTTTGAGAGGTTACCTACGAGGTATTGAACCTTTTCGGCTGCGGTGAGTCGAGGATTATCATGAATGAGACTTTTAAAGTTCTGATAAAACATTGCCCAATTGTTAGGGATACCATCGAAGCAGGCTAATTGCAGTGGTGGCAATTTTGGCGTAATTTTTGGTTTCTGCACGCAGTCGGGCCGCAGAAGAGAGTTCTCAACCATTTTAATATGACAATACAAATCATCAAATGAGTTTATTTCCGAGTAGGTAGGCTTGACCTCTTTGTCCTGTTCCATAAACAATAAATTCAAATCATCTACTGTTTCTAGAAATTCGGTTCTAGTATGTTCTAATGATTTTATACGCGATAAGAATTTAGTTTGCGAGATATGATCGGAAACCTTTAAGCTGAGATCGTAAGTTTCTTGCGTTCTTTGAAATAATGCTTCTTTTTTAGATTGCAATAAAGTAATTTTACGAAGTAGTTGGGTGGCCATATTTAAAGTGAAACAAGTATGACCGGATGCGTTTGAGAAATAATTGAAGTTAACTATTAACTATTTTCAGGGTATTTTAATAATATAATATCAATATATTATTGGATATTATAAATATATACTATTAATAATAATAGAATACGTAAATAATGTGAGTAGCGATAAATAAGCGTTGCGAAGAAATAAAAATGGCGGATGCGTGCGTTTCTTACAATTGAATTTTGTAAGATGAAATATGCGTCGTGCGATTAATTAATTAATTAAGGTATTTAATAATATAACATCAGTATATTATTGAATAATATATATAAGCTATTAATAATGATAGAATGCGTAAATAGGGTGCGTAGCGATATATAAGCGGTTTTAGAAGATAAATATGGCGGCGTGTTTGTCGTCTTAATTGCCTTACAAATAAAATATAATATATGTTTTGTGTAAATTGCGGATGCGGCTTTGAAGGACCAGGAGTTGTATGTGACTTACGTGGGATAGGTGGATGGCTGTATAGATCTTGCTCTTGGAGTCTGTACGAACTCGTACTTAGCTAAGTCAGCGAAATTGTGCTTTATAAGGTTTTAATTTATACAGTGAATTTTAGTGTTCAATAAACGCTCATAACTGCAACATTGGTATTTTTTACCTAACTTCAACTATAAACAAACTTCAACATTAAATGTTGGGAAAAATATAATAACAGCCCCAACATTTTGGTCCTTCGAGGGTTTTTGTGAAGTGTGTCGTGTGTTTTACTGTGGTAGCGAATCGGTTGGCTGGCCTCCCACAAGCGGGTCTCACCAGTTCAATTGAGAGCGTCGCACATACCCGGTAGAATATTGCGATCACACATATCACTGAACAAACAACATACCAGCGTGAGTGATACTAGGTATCTACAAGACTCGCTATGGAAGCAAAACTGCAAAAACAACGAATCCTATCGGAATCTATCAGGAAGATTTTAAGCAATTTCAAAAAGGATTCAGCTAAACGAAAAACTGCTGCGTACATCAGTGAAAGGCTGGAAGTGGTCGAGGAATTATGGACTCAATTTGACCTAAATAACACCATACTCTCGACATCTACAGAACGAAAAACGGATGATTATTTCATCAGCAAGGCCTATGAAAAGGTTAAACAGGAATATGAAACGATACGTGGGTTATTACAGAACTGGCAAGTTTCATCTACTGAGGATAAGGGGATACCTTCTAACACAGACGAGCTTATTAATCAACAAAGTACTAACTATCGAGCGTTCATGAGAATCATCAAGAATATTAACATATCCGATATTAAGGAGAAGTGGGAAATTGAAGACAAACTCGAGATGCTGCAGGCTAGATGGAAAATAATAGATAAATTGCATTGGCAAATTGACAATTTACTAGTCGGTACTAACGTGAGTTACGAAGAAGAGTATACAAAACATGAAACGCTGTTTGAGGCCACTAAACGAGAGTTAAACACTGCTTTGAATATTTCAAAACATCGATATCAAACTGTGCCACAAATTGAAATACCTACATTTTCCGGTAGCTACGCTCAATGGCCAACGTTCATGGATTTGTTCTCGGAAGCGATACATAACAACTCGTTATTGACAAGGGGTCAAAAAATGCAACATCTTAAAGGTAAACTGCGTGGCGAAGCCGAGCGGCTCGTTCAGCATTTGAATGTATCTGCCGAAAATTATGACACGTGCTGGGACATACTGACTCATAGATATAACAACATACAGTTACTTTTTTCAAAACAAATTCAAATATTTATGAATCAACCCACAGTACAACAACAAACAGCGTTTGAGATAAAACGGTTACATGACACCAGTCTGGAAACAATCCACGCGATCAACAATCTGGGGGTCAATACAACTACATGGGATCCAATCTTAGTTCACATTTTGACTGGAAAATTGGACCCCGAAACATATGCGTCCTACATGGAGAGTAGAAAAACTCCACGGGAGCTGCCCTCCTTTGATGAATTAATAGGGTTTCTGGAAACGAAATTTACGGCATTAGAACCTATTAAGAGAAATAAAAACTTTGCACACAAACAAAACAGCGCGCCAGTAAAAGAATTTACATCAAAACATATTTCAACAAGTGGAAGGTTTAAACTGCCTTCAAAATCTTGTATTGCACAAGCGGAAAGAAGCTGTCCTATTTGTAAAACTCGTCACATACTTGCTTATTGCAAGGTGTTTCGCAACATGCTCAGGAACATGCTTCAGTGGATAGGGAGAGCTCACCTTTCACGAGTCGTAGAAATTAGCATTAGATATACCGTTTGTTCATTTTTTTATATTGTACATAATTTATACAGTTTATTTCAGTTGATGTTCTACAAAATGTTTGCCCATTTCCTTATCTTAAGTCGGGAGCATGTACGAACTCGTACTTAGCTAAGTCAGCGAAATTGTGGTTTATAAGGTTTTAATTTATACAGTGAATTTTAGTGTTCAATAAATGCTCATAACTGCAACATTGGTATTTTTTACCTAACTTCAACTATAAACAAACTTCAACATTAAATGTTGGGAAAAATATAATAACAGCCCCAACAGAGTCTATAGGGGCTGGTTCAACAGCGTCACGTACAACACACTTTGCGATGAGAATGTTTTTAATGAGAATCACACGCGCACTTATAGTTGTTTTTTTTTTTAACGTGGCGCCGGCGCAGGATTCGCGGCGTTCAGAGCGGGTAGGAGTAACGGAGTGACGTGTGACTTGAGAGCGAGGAGAAGACTTGACGAGTAAGAGACGACGACCAACTTCCGCGTCTTGAGAATAGCGACAGACTACTAGTTCATTTCAAAATGGTTCTAGGATATGCGGAGCGGGGAAAGGGGGGTAGGAATAAAGGGTGTGTGTTTGATGCGTTCAGAAACGTGTAATCAGTAATTGAGTAATATTTAAATATAAAAATAATAGAATAAATACGTGAGTAATAACATGGCGTAAACGGCGTTTACAGTAGTGGTAGTGTTAGTGTTAGCATCTGTATATTAATTTTATCTATTCCTTGTGCCTTTGTTTCTATGGTTTTTATTATTTTAAATATTGTTTTTTCATCTACTGGTTTTAGTTCAAATGTTTTTTGAGTGTTATATCTGTGAAATTCGTAATATGTCAGTTTAGAAATGCTAACTTTAAATTCTCTTGGGACATCTAAACAGACTTTATTAATATTATGCGGGTTATTTATGTTGTCATTGATGTTTTTAGTATAATAGGCAGACTTCTCCTTATGCAAAGCCACAATGGATTGATGCTTAAGGTCAAGATAGTATTGCTTTTTTTATTCTAATCCTGGAAATCCCTGGTGCCCCAACGTACCTCGGGCCATCTACGGCGGGTACACGACCCCCCCCTGTGTGGGAACCCCCATGTTCCCTCTGTGCTCCCGGAAGAGCGCGAGCGTGACAGATGGCCTCACCTGTCACCCCCAGGCCTGCGCTTATGGAGGACGGAGGTCGTTCTGCGACCTCCGGCGCCTGAGTCGTCTGCGGTACCTGGCCCGTTCCCTAGCCTGGCGGGCTGGGAGAGTTCTAAACCTCTCCCGGTCCCGCTGTCAATGTTTGTCAATGATTGTCAATGTTTATATTTTGGTATATATAACTGATTGGAGCGATCCGTTGACTGAAATGTAAAATCTTAGTTTTACTTAAATTGATATTTTAATTGTTAATGTCAAGCCAGTTTATTATGGATGTCAAGGAATTCGTAATGTCATATTTATATTGAGTTATATCATTATTACAAGATATTGTAATTGGGCTATCATCTGCGAAAAGCGTTACAGTATTGTTTGTACATTTTGGAAGGTCATTAATATATAATATAAAAAGTAGAGGTCCCATTACACTTCCCTGAGGGACACCGTACAAAACTTTTCGCTCATCTGAAAGATATAGCTCTTCTCGTTTAGTAGTGGGGTTTATTATTGCTATTTCCGTTGTTTTCTGTTCTCCAACTACGATTCGAATAACTTTAGGACATTACCTCTCACTCCATAGGCATCTAGTTTTCTAATTAATATATCATGTTTTACATAATCAAATGCCTGTGTCATATCACAAAATATTGAGCATACAGGCGTTCGTTTGCCTACTTTCATCATAACTTCATGAAGAAAATTGGAAATTGCCAAATTCAAGGTTTTGTTTTTACGAAATCCATTTTGTTCATTGCACAATAGATTATTTTTTTCCAGATATATGTAGGTACAGTTGCGTATGTATGAATTTCTTAAATATTTTGGAGAATATGGGAATTAAAGAAATAGGCCTATAATACTCCATAAGCTCCCTATCCTGTTTCTTAAACACTGGTTTTACAATTTACTGTTTAAGGGTATCAGGAAAAATACCCGAGTTTATACATAGGTTCATAATGTGACACAGATGACCGCTTATTTCATGTGCTACAACTTTAATGACCTTAGTAGTTATTCCATCATATCCAACGCTGTTCGTGTTTTTAAGATTATGAATTATATTTAATATGTCTTGCGGTACACATGGGGACATGAACATTAGGGTGTCTTGAACATGGGACATGAACATTTGAAGCGGACAGAGCAAGCATGTTTTTCGAGTACTTCACAAACCGATACTGTACCGGTACGCGTGTTGCCGCCTCGTTCACAGTCGCTTTCAATAGAACCTTCTACTAAAAGTGACTTAAAGGAGTCTCCATCTAATTCATTTAGTCGGAACACTCTGACGCTGCCAACAGTAGCTAAGGTATGTGATCGATACGGACTATCAACGCGTTCGGCAGCTGCAGTCGCTTCAGCAGTCTTAGTTGACGTAGGAATGGTATCTTCCGAAGATCTAAACCTTGTGATTGATAAAAATAAGATTCACAGAGCTGTTTCAAAGTCACGTACCCAAGCCAGCAAAGACATCGATAAAATTATTATAAAGAGTATCTACTTCGATGGGCGAAAAGATAAAACTCATAAGATCAATAAAATAGACAGCCGGTACCACCGAAAAGAAGTCTTAGAAGAACACATTTCAGTTCTTACAGAGCCGGGATCTATTTACTTGGGACATACGACGCCGAGTCGAGGTACTGCGAAAGGGATTGTCACTTCTATTATAGAATTGTTAGAAAATCAAGGATGGAACTTAGAAGAAGTAAGTTGTGTGGGTTGCGATGGCACTCCTACAAATACAGGTTGGAAAGGAGGTGTCATTAAATACCTGGAAGACTATTTGAAGAGACCGTTACAATGGTGTGTTTGTATGCTTCACACAAATGAATTACCGCTTCGCCATTTGTTTATGTCTCTAGATGGTAGCACATCTGGGCCGAAAGAATACTCGGGACCTATTGGAAAACAGTTAAATGTTTGTGAAAGTAAACCACTAGTGTCTTTTTGTGCAGTGGCTGGCAATTTGCTCGAATTACATGATGACATTGTGAAGGAACTAAGTACGGATCAAAAGTATCTGTATGAAATGTGTCATGCTGTGACGACTGGTTCTTGTTCCCCTGAGTTAGCTAGCCGCCAACCTGGAAAAATGGCGCATTCTGCCAATCGCATACTCAGACTTTATGTAAGTACTGTTTCGCCATCAAATAATTTAAAGCTGCTTGTCAATTATGTGGTCAAAGTTTATGCTCCAGTTTGGTTCCTCATTAAGAAAAACTCATCATTCAAAGATGGAGCCAATCATAGTTTTCAAATGGTTACATACTTCCGATTTTTGCCTGATAAGCAAAGATCTATTGTGAATTCAGTGATCGAGAGAAACGCTTTTTTTGCTCACCTAAATGCCTAATTTTGGCCACAAGAACCAATTTCGTATTTGAAATAAGCACTAGTTATAACGCAGGACACCAGCACTGCAAAAAGAAGGAAAACTTGATACAAACCCTATACCAACCCGTCTGGCCAGCGTGGTATAGTAGGCCAAAACCTCCGTTCTAAGGAGAGGCCTATGTCCAGCAGTGGACTATTAAAGGCTGTCGATGATGATGATGACTAGTTATAAGTATTTAAACTTTACTGAACATTACCTTATGTCTTTGTAGTACCTATAAATTTGATTAAAACTTTTAAAACATTATTTTTGTATCATTTATAGTTTATGTTCGAAACCTCTAAAAATGGCAAATTTGAAAAACTTCTAGGATCGGTAGAGGCCTAAAGATGACAAATATTTAATTAAATTTTGTTATATTTGTAATCTATTCACAAAAACGCAACTTTTGATACCTCTTGCGTAGCCGTCGCTTTAAAAAAAAAAACCCATACATTGACGGGACACCCTAATGAACATAGATTTGCTTGTACTTAAAATGGGTGTGGTGGTTTTTAGAGACGTTGTTTTAGGCTCTATTTTATCGATAAAATAGTTATTAAATTCATTCGATATTTGTATTGGATTCGTAATAATAGTGTCATTTATTTTTAATCTATTTATCAAAGATTTTGGTAAATTTAATTTCGCCTGATTAATAATTTGCCATGTCGTTTTATTTTTATTCCTAGAATTATTAATTTTGTATTTATTTTGTTGCTCGTTGAGTTAGAAACATAATTCTTTTTAATAATTTTGAATATGATTTAATGCGGGATTTATTTTCTGGGTTAGGCTTTAATCTTTGTAGCCATAGTAACTGCCTTTTCTTTTTGTTACATTTTTTTATACCACTTGATACCCATTTTGTCTTTTTAATTATATTTACATTAACTCTAACTTTTGGGAAACATAAATTATAAAACAGTTGAAAGTCCTCTATGAAACTGTTGTAAGCCATATTTGGATTGAGGGTATTATAAATTTCAGAAAATTTTATATCATTTAGATAACTTTTAAATTTTAATAAGTTTTGTTGACAATAATTGTGTCTAAACCTATAATATTTGACAATTTTGCATACTTTATCTATCGGGCATTTTATTAGCTGCGCTGTATGGTCAGAAAGAGCAAACTCTATAATCTCCGTTTTGCAAGGCGTATTAAAATTATGCGCAAAGTTGTCAATACATGTATGGCTCCTAATACGAGTCGGTTGGTATATCGCAAGTTTAAGGTTAAAGTTGAAAAAAATGCGTTCAAATTCAAGTGATTGGTAATTCGATTTTAAAACATTAATATTGAAATCGAAAGCCAAGACAATATTTTTATGTCGTCTTTTTGTGGTTACTTATAAAACATTATGTAACATACTGAAAAAATCGTTCAAATTTCTCATATTTGGTACTCTATAGATACAAATAATAGCAACATTTGATTTAACAATTTCTACGGCACTGCACTCAAAAGTTTCCGGTATTGACATTCTTGATATCCTCTCTAGTTCCTTCCATTCATATCCTTTTCTGACAAGAATGCATGTTCCACCTCTTTTAGTATTTTTTCTGCTTTAATGTGAAGCTAAGACATAGGTATATTTAACAGGGATTCGCAGCCTTCTGACATAAAGTGTTCAGTGATGCATATTTTATCAACATCAATTCCTTTGTCTGTTAATTCATTTATACATACTGTCAAGTTGTTGGATTTGCTTATTAAACCGGCTATATTTTGATGCATTACGTATATGTGTCTAGTTACGAAAAAGACAGTTATTCGAAGCTGTTTTCTGATTGTCAAGCATATTTGCATCACTAGTGTCATTAGATATTGAAGATAGGTATTAATATTATTAATCATATCAAAAATGTCTCTAAACATTGTCAGTATTTCAAAATTATTAATTACGCCTGTACGATAATCAAACATTGTGTCGTCATAGCTTAGGTTTTGGTTTGAGTCGAAAAAATACGCATGTTCATGAGTCAGTATGTCTAGGTATAGTAGATTGTTAAAAGTTTCGACTCTTGAATTATATAGATCAGTATAATTTGTAAGTTGGCGTACATATAATTGTATCGGTGTGAGTAATTTCAAGCAATACCTTTCTGATTTGCAATATTAGCAGTTTCTTAAAGGAATCAAGGGATAGATGAAAAATATCAACTTCACACAGCGCGTCATCGTACAAACGGCAGTCTCGTCTAATGAAACTATTACTTGCGTAAGAGGTAGTTGCCAGGGCAGCAGAGAATAATTTCCTTTTACGACAGCTTCTTTCTGGTCTGCATGGAATTCGAAAATTATTTTTTTGTAACAATAAAAAGGGATTCTACATAGTTATTTAATATTTTGTATAAGAAAGTAACATCACATAAGTCCCTTCGATATTTTAATAACGTTACGTTATGGTATTTGGCAGACGTTTCGTAGTCTACATGTATGTACCCAGTGCGGAAATCGAGAGCTTTAACAAATTTACGAATCCTTTCAATTTTATCGATGTGAATTTGATAATGACATTTGTTTGTATTGAGAAATAAGTTATTGTTCTGACAGTAAAACTCAAAGTTATTCAAGTCGTATTAGAGTAAATTACAGTCTATGCTTTTACGTATGATACGAAATTTTTTTGTGTCGTCGGCATAAAGCAGGACGTTTGAGTTCTTTATGATATCTGAAATGTTATTTATATACAGAATGAATAGCAGAGGTCCAAGATGGGAGTCCTGAGGCACACCCGAGCTTATAGGTTTGTATTGGAATATAAAACCTCTAACTGCTGCAGCCTTTCTTCTGTTTTTGACATAGGAAGTTATCCAACGGAAAAGATCGCCATGCACACCAAGATTCCAAAGCTTTAATAGTAGGGTATTGGGACAGATTTTATCAAAGGCCTGTGCAAAATCTGTATAGATCGCATCGACTTGACATTTGTTCTCCATGGCATTCAGAATAATTTCTGTAAAATTAAGTAGATTCGTGTCTACACTGCGACCCTTAAAAAAACCATGTTGAAACGGACATATATTTCGCTGCAACGGCAGCAAATAATTCGTCCGTAACTATCTATTCCAGTATTTTGCTAAACAGAGAAAGTTTAGATATTGGACGATAACTTTCTATGTCTTGACTAACAGGACCCTTGGGTATAGGCGTGATCAGGGCTCTCTTCCATATGTCAGGAACGCAACCCGTTGACAAAGACTTTTTGAATAAAGCTAAGATTGGTATAGAAAGAGAATCGCAACACTCTTTAATAAAAATAGGCGGGATCCCGTCAGGTCCTGTGCCTTTATTCAAATCTACTGACTTGAGGTACTTAAGAACTATGTCGTGAGATATTTCGACATCGCGCGCGGCAAAAACAATCCGTCCAAACTGAATGGGAAATATTAAAATCGCCCATTAAAATAAACAAATCTTTAGGGTGGTCGTTTATTAACTTTTCAGTTAAGTACAAATAACCTTCCAAAACGGTACGGTAACCGGTGCCTTGAGGAATATAAACACACCCAATATTCAGATACGTGCAGTCAGTAGGTACATGGGATCTACTTAAAGGTATAGACACCCAGAGCGCGTCGGCGCCGGCGTGCGGCTCGTCAGCGTCAGGCCAAGGGCGCTTCCGCGACTGCAGCGAGGAGTCCACTGCGATCGCAACGCCGCCGCCCCGCCCCGCACCACTCGCCAAGGCATACCTATCACTACGGTAAACATCGTATCTTTTATCAAAGTATTCACGGTCAAAATAATCGGCTGTTAGCCATGTCTCTGTTAGGCATATGAAGTCATAATCGCATAACAGTAATTGAGAAAGGAAATTGTGAGACTTCGTACGAAGCCCTCTTACATTTTGATAGTAGCATTTGAATTGCCTAGGAACCATTGTTGTTGTTAGAACTATACGTGAAAATATTAATGTAAAGAAACATATATATACTGAAACTGAAAATGCGAAGTTATAGCCGTTTAATAGGAAGATAGTTGATTCGCTGTATGATAATAATTGTGTATACGATATCATTTCCGAGGTCTGGTCCCCAAGTTGGTTGGGGCAGCGCGTGAAGGGACCCGATGACTCCTGCAGGAGACTCTACTCGGGGGTTGTGCGGTCCATGGCCCTTTACGGGTGCCCAGTATGGGCGGGGGCCCTGAAGGCCAGCAACGTCGCGATACTGCGACGACCGCAGCGAGTGCTGGCCATCAGGATCATAAGGGGGTACCGCACGATCTCCTTTGAGGCGGCGAGTCTCCTGGCCGGAACTCCACCGTGGGACCTGGAGGCGAGAGCCCTTGCGGCTCTGTATCAGTGGCGCAAGGAGGCGCGGGAGTTGGGTCGATGCCCGGAGATTCGAGAAATCGATGACCGGAAATCCCAACTCCGCCAGTTCATCAGAGGGGAGTGGAGGGAACGACTCGGGCAACCGAGCGCCGGGTACGCCGTCATCGCGGCGGTAAGACCCGTTATTGAGGATTGGCTCGAGAGGCGTCACGGGACCCTCTCATACCGATTGACGCAGGTGATCACTGGGAAGGGATGTTTCGGGGATCACCTGTGTCTGATCTGCAAGGAGCCAACGCCTGAGTGCCACTACTGCGATGGCCAGACCGTGGACACGGCCCTCCACACGCTGGCAGAGTGCTCGGCGTGGGTTGAGCAGAAACGAGACCTCGTGGCGGCCATCGGAGTGGGAGTTCTCTCGCTCGATAGCCTGATTGCGGCTATCGTGCGGAGCGAGAGTGCGTGGAACTCTGCCGTCTCCTTCTGCGAGCAAGTTATGCTCGCGAAGGAGACGGCGGAGCGGGACCGGGAAAGGTTTAGGACTCTCCCGGCCCGCCAGGCCCGGGAACGGGCCAGGTACCGCAGGCGACTCAGGCGCCGGAGGTCGCAGAACGACCTCCGTCCTCCATAAGCGCAGGCCTGGGGGTGACAGGTGAGGCCATCTGTCACCCTAGAAGAAGCAGGCCGGGGTGGCGGCGAGCGCGTTGCGAAGCGCGCTCGCTTCCAGGGAGCACAGGGAACATGGGGTTCCCACACGGGTGGGGGGGGGGGGTCGTCTACTCGTCTGTAGATGACCCGAGGTATGTCGGGGCACCAGGGACTTCCTTTCTAGGGTATACCTGGTTCCCCGGCTATTAGTACCCGAGACGGCGTGCGGTTTTAGTCGGTTCGAGTCCGGTCCGGTCCACCGACAGGTGGTATGTCGGACTCGAAGGAGGGACTCGAGGGGATTTCCGCACGGAAAAAAAAAAAAAAGGGTATTTACTGCCTCTTTCCGGTTACAATATTGTATATTTATTATAGAATTGCTCTCAAGCTTTTTGGTAAAAAGATAGATAACTGAACTGAACTAAAGAAAAACGCAACATATTATTGCAAAGTAAAGAACACACTAATGAATGTCACTTAGATTTATTAAGTTTGTTGAGATCGCTGTCACTCTGGATACGAATCACCGGTGTTTTATCGCTCCTGCGCATAAATATTTTACAGTCTCGCACCCAAAGATACGCATAATGCAAGTCCATCTTCAATTTTCGGGCTTTCTTAAGAAGAATTTTATTCCCGGGGGTGAGGTGGTCACCAACGTATACATTCAATGCAGGGCCCGCCACGCCGATATCGGCGGTGGTTAGGCCTCGGCGCGCACGCACTGACGACAGCAGCTGATCCTTCACCAGGCGCCGGGAGAACTTGACCACGATGGCGGGAACCCGAGAATCTAGTGTAGTGCTGCCGGGTGCACCCTCGCGACGTTCCAAGCGGCGCACTCTCTGGATGGAGTCAAGATCCCTGTCTTCCAGAGTGAGACCGACTTTTGCTGATATTGAATGAAGTATATTAAACAGATTTTCTCCATTTGTAATCGGTATCCCTGAAATTTCTACGTCGTTCATTCTAGCGAATTGATCGCGGATATTGTTTTCGTTTTGTAAGGTAGATATATGTTGTTGAGCGTCGCATAGATCGGCTTCTAAAGATGCTATTGTAGGGTTTTTGTTTTCGAGGATAACCAGACGATCTTCTAATGATGAAAAACGGGTTTCCATCTCGTCCCATTTAGAGTTCAGGTTTTGTGATCAAGTGGACACACTACGCATCTCTGGTTTTAATGTGTCGAATTCGAACATAAATTCCTTAACAGTGGAGAATTCTTCTCTCAGCGCTCTTATCTCATGTAAGATACATATAAATCACATACCGCCCGTGGAATAAACTAAGTAACAACTGTTTTAAATTGCTCTTAAAATAATTTTAAAACGATCAGTTTAAAGTGTAGTTATAACGATTGTTTACTATAAATTTAAATTGTTGTAACCGTTATAAGTGAATTAGAGAGGTTTTACAGTGATAAAAACTTATTATAGTTACAATAAGATAACATTTTACATCCCAGCTGTTACAAAGTATTGTGAAGTTTATTCAAAATCAAGTGTTTGGTGAAAACGCGTCAGTAGCGCGTATGGCATGGCGATTAAGACCTTTCTGCCGGGCATCTCAAACGAGCTACACGCTTTAATCATTCAGCGCTTTAAGTAAAACATCACTTTGTACCGTTAAACACACTACTATACGCTTTCGCTTTGAGGATCGCTGCAGGTGCTATTTTATCACCCATACATAAGTTTGAATTAGTCGTTCAAAATGTCAACAAAGAACTGTGCTGGTTGCATGAACGCTTTTAAAAGCCGAGAATGTTCGCAATGTTCTTTATGTCATCTTTGGTTTGATTTATTGTGTGCGAATGTGCATGAAAAGCGGTTCAAACTTATGAGTTTGGAACAGAGAGGATCGTGGAAATGCCCTGGCTGCTGTAGTAAGCAACCCAAGGGCGATAACACAAACACACCTGTCCGTCGTCGTTTTGAAACACCTCCTGTACGCACGGCGCACTTAATGACACCACTGTCGCGTCACTGGGGTGGTTCGAATAAAACCACCGTATCGCACTATACTGTATATATTTACACAAATATAGAACCAATACATGTACCTTGAAGGGTTTATTAACAATAAATCTCTGGTCTATTTACGTCGCCATGTGAACCAAACTATATCGCGATTTAGAATTAGTGTGACACGCCATCTATCGATCGACAAACTAAATTATAGTCACATCTAAACATGCCGCCCGCCATGGACAAATTATGAAGTTATACAATCTTAAAATAATAATTTGTCCATAATTACTTTTTAAGTATGGTTATCACACGGCAACAGTAAAAACACAAAACTAAACAACAAACAGTTAAACAGAAAATTATTTGACAATATACTAAACCAAGCAAAAAAAATATTATACTAGCCGGTGCTTCTTACATAGCAAAAATTAACCTTACAAAATATTATTAACTACTTAACATACAAACATACTAATTACTGTACGGTGTTAATAGGTAATACACATAATTTTACAACGGGTCTTTTTATTACGGCGTTTTTACACCTTAGACTCACAACGCGTGTAACTCCGTCCAAACCCGGATGTTTTTGTTCTACGATTCCAAAAAGCCATTGAGCAGGTGGCAGGCCGTCCTTCTTTGTCAAGACCATGTCACCAATTGCAGGTTCTGGAACCTGATACGTCCACTTGTACCGATTTAGGAATTGTGCAAGATATTCGTGCGACCATCGTCGCCAGAAATCCTGCACCATTTGCTGAGTCAGCTGTAATCGTTTCAATCTGGTGATGTTGGACTGTTCATAATTTAAATCAGGGGCTCTCCTACTAAAAAATGCCCAGTAGTAAGGGGAGCTTGATCTTGACAATTGTCACTCACACGAGACATAGGGCGAGAATTTAGGCATGCCTCGATCTGGGCCAACACAGTAGCCATCTCTTCGTAAGTTAGGGTATTGTTTCCAATAACCCGCTTGAGATGGTACTTTGTGGACTTTACACCAGCCTCCCACAGTCCTCCAAAATGAGGAGCGTGTGGAGGAATGAAGTGCCAGTTGGTCGCATTATCCGCTGATTGGTTAGCGGATAATGAATAGCCCTATCTCATTAGCTACACTGGATCTTCCGATAGCTACTAACTTCTTCAATTCCTTGGCAGCTCCGACAAAATTAGTGCTATTGTCACTGTACAAGTCTGCGCAGTGACCGCGTCTGGCGACAAAACGCTTAAAAGCAGCCAAAAAACCTTTAGCGCTCAAGTCACTGACCACCTCGAGATGAATAGCTCTGGTAGCCATGCACACAAATAGGCATATATAGTCTTTGTACGCGTGATGTCCTCTACCCTTTGCAGATCTTAGGCCAATAGGACCGGCGTAATCAACTCTACTTTAGTGGAAGGTACGACTGGGATTGACGCGTGATTTTGGCAATTGGCCCATGAGTTGTTCTCGTACCTTGTGCCTCGTGCCTCGTGCCTACCTTAGCTGCGTGACGAATGCAAGATATACACTCAAACAAAAAACTTCGCCTTATTCTTCACATCGAGAATCCAATATCTTGATCTCAAGAAGTTTACCATCACTTGCGGTCCTCCATGTAAGGTTCTTTTATGGGCGTCGGCTATTACGAGCTCAGTGAAGTGTCACTTTGAGGGGAGAATTATCGGATGTTTCATACCTTCTACAAGTGCAGCTCTGTCCAACCTTCCACCGACTCTAAGTATTCCATCGTGATCGATAAATGGATTCTGTGAGGTAAGTACACTTTTCCTTGCAATTACTTTTATTTTCAATAAAGTGTCAATTTCAGCGGCAAAATGTTGCTTTTGGCAATGCTTAACACACACAAGAAGTGCATCATTTAGTTCTTTAGCTGATAACCATGAATTAAATTTGTTAGAGGTTCTCTTAAAATTTAGAAACCGTCTACAGTATGCTATGACTCTAATTAATTTACTTAACGAGGAAAACTTCGACCATACTGCCAGTTCTTCGTTACTCATGGTTGCAAGACTGATTACCTTAGCCTTGTGTCTAGATCTGTTTTGTATTCCTTCCGGTTTTCGTGGCCGATTACCTTGTCCTTCAACCACAAAGGTCCTTCTTTCCATAATGTGCTTGAGATTAACTCTATTGGATTCATTCCCCGGGATGCATAATCTGCGGGGTTCTCAGCTGACTTAACGTGACCCCATTGATCTCTACCGACCACGGATAATGTCTCTGAAACTCTGTTTGCTACAAATGTTTGCCAATTGCAGGGATGTTTGCTAAGCCACGCAAGAACTATTGAGGAATCTATCCATGCATAAATGAGATGCCTTTCAATATTCAACACTTCACGTAATAATTTTACTAGTAAAACTGCAGCACACAGCTCAAGACGGAAACGGAACGGGATTGACATTTGCTTAATGGGTGCGACCTTTGTTTTTGCAGTTATCAAACGTGAATGGACACCATCTTGGTCATCGACGATACGGATATATATTACTGTACCGTCAGCAAGACTAGATGCATCACTGAATCCGTGCAACTACTGAATCACCAAATCACCATCACCAAGTGATGTTCGAAGCCATCTAGGTACTCGAAATGGAACTAGATTTTCAAGTTCATCCCGGTAAGTATGCCATTCATTCAATAACGTGCATGGCAACTCTTCATCCCAATCTATACCTGACAACCATAATTTTTGTGTTAGTATTTTCGTTTTTATGATTACAGGTGCGAGCCAGCCCAAGGGGTCAAACAACATGGAGATGTGGGAGATAATGTTTCTTTTTGTTGCAGGTGTCTTCGAAACAGGTAGTTTCACCGTGTAAGCAAATTCATCAGACTCCCGACGCCAGGTAAGTCCCAAGATTTTGATCACATTATCAATTTTTAGTTCATGGCTTTCTTCTTGTTGCTTATCAATGTTTATGTATTTCAACAATTCTTCGTTGTTGCTTCTCCATTTTTGCAACTCGAAGCCTCCCTTTGCTAATAGTTCCGTCATTTGTTTATACATTTCCCTTCCTTCAGATACAGTTTGACAACCGCCATCATGTCATCCATGTAAAAATTCTGCATAACAATAGATTTCGCAACTGGGTTGTAACCGCTTTACGTGTCAGGCGGACTACTCACCGGCTTACCCAGCGGAGAAATACACGAGATTACCTCAGGGCGCCTTGTCGAAAACAGAAGGGTGTGCGTGTGGGCAACCTAAGGGACTCCTCAGAGAAAGACAACTTACACCTCAGTCATACATACATGTATATTTCAACTAAATACAGAGTTACAATTAAAAAAAAACTTAAAATAGTGGGTATATAAAAAAATCCCGCAGCGGCGCGCGTCAAGGCCGAGCTGATGCTGCTCGGAGCCTCCTCGTCAGCAATCCAGCAGGCCACTTCCACACCAGCCCGAGTCGGCTATTTATATTAGGTATAATGGAAGGTTCAATATTTATATTAATTACATTAACAAGAACTACGTAACCCTTGAATGAGGCTGACCGCTTGCTTGGTGAGCCGCGTGACTGCCAGTTTACCAGAGGGTACTGAGAAGCTCGATTACGCACCAGAAGGCCACAAACGAAAGAGCACGCCGTCTGAGATTGTTTGTCTTGACCCGAAATCTGGAGCCCTACGAATGGATTAGCACTCATATAATCGTTCAGGTTCCAGAAACAAATGACTACAAGAAAATTAAGATTAACTTACCACTGACGTGGGTACTTAGGACAAAGAATTAACTAAAAATTAATTACCAGACCACTTAAGATCGGAAGACTAGAATCACCAGAGTGTCCCCTGCGGCTGAAAGCCGGACTTATATATGCTCGGTTTGTGAAATTTCTAGAACGAATCCCTTCTTTATCATTTTAAATTGTCATTCAAATTATCATCGAGGTTAACACGACTCAATTCAACAGTAACTCGCTTCCTACCATAACAGGACACTTTTAACACCAATACAATTTGTCAGGATAAATTATTACTACGACTTACCAAAAAAACAACGCCATCTAGTGGTCCGATGGCGGACGAAGAGACATCAATGCTATAGTTACAATCTACTTTGGATAAATCAATAAATGCGACGCGGGGCAACAGGTGTCACTGTTTACAACTCCGTACGCAATACTAATATAATAAAA